AGTTTGGAAGAGATGCATGAAAGAGCTATTGCTGCTGTGAACGTCGAAGAAGAACTATCTGAATGGTTCCATAATAACTCTGCAGATTACCAGGGAAATGAGCTTTCGCCATTGCCATTCAGTTCCAAAACAATGCTGATCCTGGCAAAGGCAAATTTCAAAATATCTGGCTAAATATTTTTGCAAACTTGAAATACGAAAGCAATACTATTCTGGTGAGTAGTAGGGGAAGCGGGCACCGTATGCAATACAGCTGCAAAATCCGGTCTTTTTTTAACGTCAATAAGTCAAACGATTTGAAAAACCATCCGGCACAGCTCATCTACAAGTAAAGCAGAGGATGAAACCGTTCAGGAGGTTGACCAGCTGAAGAACAGTGGCTCCACGTTTCCAGCAATGGCACTGTCCAGCCAGAGTTTACTAAGAAATTCGTCCTACCCCTGAATGCTTATTAGAAACTGTCCAATATGTGGGATTAGAAACGAGTAACTGTTAACACAAAAATCTGCATGCATCTTGCCATTATCAGGTCAGTATTGCTTTGAGGCATGGAGACTCAAGGAATGAGGAAAACGACTATTTGACTGCGCACAGCAGCGTTGGCTTCAACGCATGAAGGTTACACAGCAGACCACATAACGAATGGCTGTTCTCATCCGGGAACAGGTGATTCGGGTAGATGTAAAGATTTAAAAAAAATGAAGATTGGCCCCGTTAGACGAACTGGTCGAGTTGACAACATTTTTTTCGTTCAGCGAATTTCTTAGATTGGAACCGAAACATGACAGACATTTGCCAGAAGACCAGCATGCAGCATGTAGGACATGGTAGAGGAGACCTACTTTCATTTCCTTATGTGATACAGTGACATGTACTTTAGAGCAAAAGTTTTCAACTGCTACCAATTTAGCGAACATGACAAATCAGAGACTTTTTGGTCATGAAAACGGCCCAATCTGATAATTATAATAAGCAACAACTGCTACAGCAGTATTCTGTATAGCATGAAACGTTCAAACCATATGTCGTAGTTAATATTAGTTTTTTTTTCGACTTCAGTGTCATCAAAAGCACCTCAATTGTTTCTGAACTCTTTATTGCCACAGGCAGTTTTATACGTTTTTCACCCTCCGCGTTCTCGTCCTCAAAGATTGCCTGACAATTTCATGATTTTGGTGATGCCAGTAAATTTCAATTTCCTTTGCCGTTTAGACTTTCCATTTGCCATCCTTTTGCACAAGCAAGAAAATTCATCGAACCAGCACGAGCTTCCTTCATTTTATTGATGTCTGCACTAAATGTGTCACATGTAAAAAATCGATAGCCATTAGTCAAGAGATCTTTCATTTGAAAAGCCAAGAAAAAATCCGATCAATCCCTGAGCCACTCATAGACGAGTTTTCGCTTCAGATTTCCTTAACCATCAGTTGAGTTGCTGAAATCATGCATGGACTAAAAGTAAGTATATCTGAAATAGAGATGGAGATGGAACACTCCGGCTTCGTTACCCACGCCTTAGAACATGGTTGCGTTTTTGAAGAACAAAACGTTTCTGCGGTTGACCATGAAGATGTTAAAGTTAGTTGATGATCAAAGAACGGTTGTACATCTAAGCTAACAGGAACAAGCCATTGGATGGTTACACTGCTTCTTTGGACATCATTGAAGGATTGGGTGTACTGTGTCCTTTTTTTAATTCATGCTAGATGAACACGGTATATACCGTAACATCTGTTGCTAGTTTTCTGGCAGGAAGGCCGCTGTTGTGTGGCCGAAATGTTAACAACTGTGTAGTAAGGGTTTCACACAGCATCAGCCTTTGTTTTATGCCCAAACTATTGTATTTGAAACTTGGAAGACTTAGGGATTAGTTACGTTCATAAAAAGACAACTTCCATAAAAAGATGCTGTTCAATCGCTGGAACGCAAAATTATAAACAAGGCATTTTTCAGCAGCTCTTTAGTTCCTGATTATTAACATCTAGGGCTGTTAAAATGAGCACTGTTTTCTGTGCCTTTAGTGCAAGCAATTTCCTTCGTACATTTCATGTTGCGTGATATCAGGGTACTTAGAGCTTTTTTGTTTTAATCACATGAGGCTTATTTGAATGTGAAGTGGCCTCCCTTTGGTGAATGCGAGTTTTGCTATTCCTTGTGAGGTCATTTGATATGGCTTCGTTAAGTGGTGTCCAGCAATCCGCCGCTTTTTGGACCCCAGTGAGCATCACTAAGCAAAAAGAGGCGGCAACAAATCTGTGCCGCTTG